AGACTCTTCCGGCCCTCTGACTATTACCCTATGCTTCTCATCCATGTGGGCACCAATTATACTTCCAGGGGAGACCCCGAGCAGATCAAAAGTGACTACAAAGCTCTGGGTGCAAGGTGAAGGGGACTGGGGCTCAGGTAGTGTTCTCTTTGATGCTTCCAGTCAAGGGGAAGGGCCCAGGAAAGAGCAGATGCATCCTGCAAATCAATGCCTGGCTACACAGGTGGTGTTGCCAGCAGGGCTTTGGCTTCTTTGACCACAGAACAATGTTCCAAGAAGAAGAATTGCTGGGAAGAGATGGGATCCACCTGACAAAGAGAGAGAAGAGTATCTTTGCAGACAGGCTTGCTAACCTAGTAAGGAGGGCTTGAAACTAGGTTTGCCAGGGGATGGAGACCAAAGTCCTGAGGTAAGTGGGGAAGTGGGTGACCTGGCAGAAGAGCAGGCAGGAGGGGAGGTGTTCTCATGCTTCCTGAGAAATCAGGGCAATCAACTGGTTACCTCAGATGCCTGTACACGAATGCACAGAGCCTGGGAAACAAGCAGGAAGAATGGGAAGTCCTTGTACAGTCACAGAATTATGACATGATTGGAATAACAGAGACTTGGTGGGATAGCTTGCATGATTGGAGCACTGTCATGGATGGGTACAAACTGTTCAGGAAGAGCAGGCAGGGGAGATGAGGAGGAGGAGTTGCACTTTATGTAAAAGAGCCATACTATTGCTCAGAGCTCCAGTATGAAGCTGGAGATAGGCCTGTTGAAAGTCTCTGGGTTAGGGTTAGAGGAGAGAGCAACAAGGGTGATGTTGTGGTGCGGGTCTGCTATAGACTACCAAACCAGGAGGAAGTGGTGGATGAGGCATACTTCAAACAGCTAACAGAAGTTTCCCGAACACAGGCCCTCATTCTCATGCGGGACTTCAATCATCCTGACATCTGCTGGGAGAGCAATACAGCAATGTGAAGCTAATCCAAGAAGTTTTTGGAGAATGTTGGGGACAACTTCCTGGTGCAAGTGCTGGAGCGGCCAACTAGGGTCCATGCTTTTCTTGACCTGCTGCTCACAAACAGGGAAGAATTGGTGGGGAATGTACTAGTAGATGGCAACTTAGGTAGCAGCAACCATATGACGATTGAGTTCAGGATCCTGAAGAAAGGAAGGATGGAAAACAGCAGAGTAAAGACCCTGGACTTCAGAAAAGCAGACTTCGACTTGCACAGGAAAGTCCTGGAGAAGATCCCCTGGGAAACCAGTCTGAGGGGAAGAAGAGTCCAAGAGATTTGGCCATACTTTAAAGAAGCCTTCCTGAGTGTGGAGAAACAAACCATCCTGATGTGCATGAAGACTAGCAAGTATGGCAGAAGACCAGCCTGGCTTAGCAGGTAACTCTTCAGTAAGCTAAAGCAAACAGCTAGGGATGAATATAAGAATATTCCTCAGGCATACAGGGATAAAGTCAGGAAGGCCAAAGCACATTGGAGTTGCAACTAGCACGGGACATGAAGGGTAACAAGAAGGGTTTCTACAAGTATGTCAGTAACAAGAGGAAGATCAGGGAAAATGTGGGTCCTTTACTGAATGTGGGAGGCAACCTAGTGACAGAGGATGCAGAAGAGGCTGAAGTACTCAGTGCCTTTTCCACCTTAGTCTCCACAGGCAAGGTCAGCTCCTAAACTACACAGTTTGGGGAGGAGGAGAGCAGTCAACAGTGCTGAAAGAACAAGTTATGGACTATTTAGAAAAGCTGGACATACACAAGTCCATGGGGCCAGGTGGGCTATACATCATAGGGTGCTAAGGGAGTTGGCTGATGTGATTTCAGAGCCACTGGCCATCATCTGTGAAAACTCATGGCAATTGGATGAGGTCCTGGATGATTGGAAAAGGGCAAACATAGTGCCCATATTTAAGGGAACTACAGACCAGTCAGCCTCACCTCAGTCCCTGGAAAAATCATGGAGCAGATCCTCAAGGAATCCACTTCTGAGTACCTGGAGGAAAAGAAGGTGATTAAGAACAGTTAGCATGGATTCACTAAGGGCAAGTCATGCCTGACCAACCTGATTGCCTTCTTTGATAAGATGAATGGCTCTGTGGATGTGGAGAGACATCACAATGGATGTGATATATCAAGATTTTAGCAAGGCTTTTGATACAGTCTCCTACAACATTGTCGCAAGCAAGCTAAGGAAGTACAGGCTGGATGAATGGACTATAAGGTAGATAGAAAACTGGCTGAACCATCCTGCTCAGAGGGTAGTAATGAAATTTGCAAATCTAAGTTGCAATGTCCAAAAAAAAAAAAGCTACCATACTAGAACCACCCTTGGAGTCTTTTCTCCCAGCTGAATTTATGAAAAAAAAGTGCTTTTGGTTGCTGTTCTAGCCTGTGTTGGTTCTTACATGAAGCTCATCACCCTACTGTCTGAGTTCTACACGTATTGCTAAACATTCAAAACTCAGTGTGAAGGCATTCCATATTTGACTTTTTAATGTAAAATTGTTCTTATTTGGTAAGCTGTCATTTTGGTTAGGTTAATTGTTCTGAAATGTGAGGGTAAGAACACAAATTTAGTGAGTCATAGTTCTACCCAGAGCTCAAATTCCCAAACACGCAGTAACTTCGCCAATGCCTTTAAGCTTTGCCCTGCAATTACCCAGCAATCCAGTTATGAAACCTCCCTGATACAAGAGGGAAAAGTGTATCAAACTGTAGGATGGTTTCGTGATGTGTGAAAGAGCCTGTTTTCATAAATCATCTAAGCCTGGATTGAACACAGAAACTTTGAGGTGAAAGGCTGAACCATTATTGCAGTGTTCCCAAGCTGCTAAATATGGAATAATCTCATAAACTTGGTATATTAGTGCCAGCATCAGAACAAACATTTGGAGAAGAAGTCAGAAGCTGTAGATCTCCAAAAGTAGCATGTGAGGAGGGAGTTTCACTTTCTTATACATTGTAGAACCACATCATTGCACCTCAGATAATGGAAAAACATTTGTAGATGGGGGTTTTGATTAAAATATGTCAAATCAAGTAAAGATGAGAGAAGTACCAGTAGCGGCCCAGTAAGTTAAGAAAGAATTGGCTAAATGTAACAAGTGCATAATTCTGGAATTAAGTGAATAGCCATGAATATTGATAATTTTAATAGGACCTGGATTGTCTCCGTATATTTCCAGAGCTGTAATCCACTACTAAACCTTTATCTGCTGATGTGAGTAACCTGTATTGTATTGAAAGAGATATTATGTTGAATGCTGAGACCTATACCAAAAAAATTTGATCATTAATGCTCTGAGCGCTCTATTACTCCACAGCTTTGCAGCTAGAACAAATCCTAGTAAATTATTTTTTAAAAATCATGTATGTTTTGTTGCTATCGAGTGTACATGATCCTTTGCAAACAAGTAAAACGCATTCCCTGGTAAAATACCCTGAAGGCAAATTAACTGTCTAAGGAAAACAAAAGCAATAAATAAATACTCATCTTGAAAGAGAGGATGGGAAAGCCTTACCAAGCAAGGGAAAGATAAAGGAGATTCTCTACTTGGAAGAAACAGAACTGGAAGAGAGGAGGAAGGATGAAATGTTCAAGCATTAGGGAGCAGCATCAAAGAGGGAGGAAGGGAAGGGAGCAGTGCGAAATGAAAGCATGTCAGGGTAGGTAAAGCAGGGGGAATTGTATGAGGCTGTTAGAAAGTGGCCTGATCCTCAGCAACACCCTTTAAAGTCTGTGACTCCTTAGCACACAGCAGGGAGAAGGAAGCTTCCCATTTCAAAACAGGAGTCTGCTGTTCCATTTGCGCCTATTTACTGCACCTTCTGCTTTGTTTGCAGTTGAAGGTGGGAGGTATGGGAACAAATATTTGGTCCCTGCATAAAGAAGAGTGAAATGTATTTGACCCAGAGTGGGAGGAAACCACGTTTTTCTTCACTGCCTAGTTTCTGCCAAGTGCAGAGGTCCTAAGAGGAGGAAGAGGGCAGGAGGGTTCTTAAGGGTTGTTCCTGCCATGGTAGTTATACCATGCAGAATCTAGCAAGTGGGCCCTGATCCTAACAAGAGCACCTTGGTACTACTGTAATGAAAAAAAGGGAAAAAAAACCTGGGTTGGATTCTCCAGTCCATTAAATCCACTTTGCCATGCCTGTTAATTCTGTGTGTCAGACACCTACCCCCAGCACAGAGGGCGGGCAACATGGACAACTATCAGAGCTAGAACTCAGCCTGTCTTGGCATTTGTGCCATGGTGATTAACATCTCAAATAAAGCAAAAGCTTTTAAATGTTGAGCTGTTTGTTCAACACAATGTTTGCATTAGTGCCATTCTGCATGTCCTCATTGCAGTGGAAATCTTTGTATTTCAGTACAGCTTATGTTCTACTGCTATTGACTTTCACAGCAAAATGATACACGTATGGCCTGTCTCAGAAAATGCAAGGGGGCTCTTGGAATTCATCCCTCTGTGTACTGCTGGCCATAGGTTTTGATCGTTTATGCAAGTCTAAGAAAAGTTAAGGTGGCGGGATGGCTTGTAACACTTCACTTGTCAGATCAGAACAAGGTCACACAAGCAACTTATCAAACATCAGAGCTGCACTTTTAACAATCTACTCCTTGTTTGCCAGATGGCAGGGAGAGAAAAATAAATTGTAAAAAACATGTGGGCAGTGTGAAAAATTTTAGCTCTGAAATAAAGTGGGCAGAGTGAAGCGTTGATTCAAGTCTCAAGCTTTAAAATGGATGTAGTGAGGTAATAGTTAGATCCTAAAATGAGGAACTGCTCTTTATTTTTGTTATGGTGAACATTTTTATCTGCCAAGGGCAGCTTAATGATAGCGAGAAATTGAGGGCTGGTCTTTTAAACCAGTCAGAAACATAAGCAGCTGTCAGGATTTATCTTTTTGTTAAAAGCAAATTTGATTACATTTCATGGGGTTCTAAGCCAAGTCACCTGCAAGTCTAATATATTACTATTTAATTCTCTTTTTGCAGTACGATATCGTTGGACATTCAGGCGATGGCTTCAACATTGCGTTGGTTGGGTGTGACAAAGTTCCTAAAAACAATAAGCAAAGATTAGAGATTCTGAAGGTAAATCCTGTTGATAAATAACTCCTGATAATTATGGATCAAATGCCCAGTGGATAAAAGTTTCTGTAGGTGACATATAAATGTAAAGGGAGGGAGGCAGCTGGAAGGGAGAGGATGGGGAGTCTGTGAGGTAAATGAAAAACTAGAAAAGGTTATTTTAGAGACTTTTTAAAAAGCTGTCATTGTATAGAATATGGCAGTGTCCCTCATTTGTATGAAGATATGTGAAGCTGTATGTTAATAATAAGTGGTAGTGGTCTTAAGATCTAACTAGGGGCTGAAGCAAACCACAAAGTGATCCTGAAGAATTGCTCGACTTTCTGAAAATAAAAAATGCTTTAGTAGTAAGAGGACATGCAACTGCAAGGTGGGTAAGTACACTGAGTACCACTAAGAAACTTACTGCATCAGAGAGCATTTTTTATGAATTTGACAGTTTTATAATATAGGAAGTATTAGGTATTCTAATGACTGAGCTCTCTCACCCCTTTCTAAAAAAATGATTTATAATCCATATTGTCCTGAATGAAAAAGTAATGCAGTCCTTTCCCCCACCCTCTTTTACTGTTGTTTCATACAAGCCAGTACAGATATAGCTAAGTAAATTTTATTAACCAATATTTGGTAATAGCAGTCACCTGGATGTTGATGTCTATTAGTCCAACATGCAACAGGTAGGATTTGTCCTGGCCTTAGGGAACTAAGCTCCATTTTCCTCCTTCAGATAGACAGGAATGTAGACACCCAGTCTGAAGCCCACCACAGTATTTTACCCTCCTCATCCTATTACCAAGTATGTTCTGTTCAGTTGACACTGCAATTTGGATTTCAAGGATTAGTGTTTGTAATAAAAATTACATGTACGTTAACTGATACATAAAGTGCTCTAAAGCCTGGAGCACCGAACACATTTCTAAACACACCTCCCTTAAGGATGTTTGCTCCCTTTTGTGCTAATTAGGATGGATGCTTATGTAAAAGAATTCTCACCTGTCTCCATCTGAATTTGTTCTGCCCCCAGATAATGCACGCACATGCTCAATTCTGTATGAGTGGAGACCATACACTGGAAGGGACAGAGCATGCTGTTCGTGAAATTGCCAAAGAAGATGCTGATGAGTACTTTGTCATAGTCTTAAGCGATGCAAACTTGGAGCGATATGGTATCCCACCAGCAAGGTTTGCCCAGGCCTTGACACTCAACCCACAAGTGAATGCCTTTGCTATATTCATAGGATCCTTAGGAGACCAAGCAGACAGGTAAGTATTCCT